GCCCGCGGGCGGCGCTCGGCCCCGCCATCCAGCGGCGGTGTCGGGCGAGCGCCCTCCCCGCTCCCGGCAGCCTGTCCCCCTCCTCTCGGGGTCACTCACCCCTGCTTTGTACCCGTGTCCACCCCCGCCGGGGCTGAGCCACCTTCCCCCGCCGCGTCCCCGGAGCCGCTCGCTTTTCCAGGCTCCGGGGAAGTGCGGTGGGTGGACGAGGGGGGGAGGAAACTGGTGTGGGTAGGGAGGGGATGATTTCGGCTGCTGGCTTGCGATCTTCCCATCTTTCTTCCCCCCCCCTCTTCCCACAGTTCGGTTTTGTTTTCTCTGGCATGGGAACTGGGCCACTGCGAGGAGGATCGCAGAAAATAGTTCCTTCTCTGAACAACGTGTGAAATGCAACACAGCGGCGTGTTAGTTTTCATGTCCACGGCGTTGGCAGTGGCAGGGGGGTGGCAGGTAGGCTAGTGCTATCTCAGGGGCGGGCAGCACAAAGGGCAGGAAAAATATATATATATGAGAAAGGTAGAAAAACAGTCCCCCTTTCACTTCATGCGTCCAACCTGGGCTGTTAATGAGGCTTTTAACAGAAAAGTGGGCCAAGTTCCTTTTGAAATTGTGCAGACGTCCCCTCTCAGGTCTGTCTGTTTTCCAGAGCTGGGAGGCAGAGGGGATCAGTATGGCTTTAGGGACCCTGCACCCAACATGCAAACCATATCTGGGTCTTCTCAAGGCGGGGTGTTGAGACCCATGGCCCCCATGCACAAAATCAGCCTTGCTGTGGGGAAAAGTGCAGTCAGAAGAGGCTTCAGATCGGAGCTGTGGGGTGGGGGAAAATCAAAGGTACAGCTCCTGGGGTCTGAGCCAGCTTGCTGGTCTTTCCCTGCACCCACCTCATCTCCAGGTGGACCCCTGCTTTGTGCGCAGTTTTTGGGAACTGGGCACCGCATGGTTGCAGAGACTGCGATAGCAAGGAGCCGGCCTAGGGAGGTGGCATGGGCAGGGGGGGAGCAAGGGCTGTGTGGACGCTCATGTGGTTGAAGCTGAGCCCTCAGCAGCCAGGACTACCAGGGGATGGACGTGACATTTCTTGCTGTCTCTGCAGAGAGGCCTTGCATTAACCAGCTGGCTATGACAAGCCTTCTGTTCATGCAACATGTGGTTTTGGCTTTCCAGAACCCAACCCCAGCTCCCTGTGCTGAAATACATGCCCTCGCTGCTGCTCTGAAGGCTGTCTTTGGAAAGAGACGCTGGCTCCTGCCTGCACAGCGTCTTGCTCCTCATTCTGGCTGCAGCAGGGAGCCCCTCCATCTGCCTGTCCCCCAGCCTGTTCTGCCCACTGTGCTGCTCTGTGTGTGGTTTCAGGCTCGTGAGGCTTTGCTCAAGACAAGTCAGCACTGCAGAAACCAAGATGCTGTCGTTAGGATGATGTCTCAGGAAAAGCAGGAACGAAACAGTTCTTAGGCACAGGCAAAATGCTTATGCTGTGAGGATCAAGCCAGCAATTGCTTGAATTCAGTACCCTTGTCCAAAATCTGCAGCTCTTTCAGAAACTGCCTCTGCTTGGGGGAAGCTCTTTTCTCCCCTCTTCCTTTGCAGCTGAGCTAAGCTGTGCTGCAGGGAAACCTGCTCCCTGCCCAGTTCCTCCTTCTTCAGCCCTTCCTGCCCTAATGCAGAAATGTGGCTGCCAGGAGCAGGTAGTCCTGCAGGCACGTGAAGGGGGCAGGAATCAGAGTCTGCCTCATATCCCTTTTGAATTTGCTGCCTTTGAGCCAGCCCCTTCTTCCCCATCGCTCCATTCTGGCTGCTCTTCTGGGAGGGCATGCTGAGCTTGCTAGTCAGCCTGCACCTCTCCTTGGCTGCCGGGGTAAAAAGTGTGGGCCAGGAGGCTCCAGAGCAGCAATAATGGCTTGCAGCTATGAGCAGGGCTGGCAGACAGGCCTTGGGGGTGGAAAAAGCAGTGCGAGGGGTCTGAGCGTGGTGTGCGAGGGCAAGGCTGCCAGAGGGAATTAACCAGGAGCCTGCTGTCTAAATTCAGAGGCAGGTGAAGGACTGAGACGGCCATGTGGTGCTTAATGCCTCATGGACACGGATGCTCAACAGGCAGCTTGTGAAAGCTGAGTTTGGCTGGGGGCTGTAACTGTGCCCAGGGAGTGCTAGGAAGGCTGATTTAAGTCCTGGATCAAACTTTATCTGTGCCGAAGTGTAGGTGTTGAACTGCATGAAAGAGAAGAGTTTCTTTCTTGTCTCTTTTCTTTTTCTCTTTCGAGTTATTTATTTTTTTAAATAGGTCAGGGTAACTGTAGGAACAAGATTAGCATGAGTAGTGGCACTATGCTGGCCACAGTAAGAGCAGAAGAAAAAGAAACAACGGGAGGTCTGTGTCCCTGTGCTGCAGAGCACAGCCTGGTCAGCACCCGGGTTCAGGAGCCAGCCGTGACCCTGAGCAGCACCGTGCGGCCACAGATCATTTGTGGGATGGTGGGTGGGAGATCACAAGGTGCCGCTGCCTTCTGGCCCAACTGAGACTGGTTGGGGTCAGGCTGGGATGGGATGCCAAGGAGGGGGATGCAAAGCTGGTGGGTCAAGCGTGGCATCTACAGGAGGAGTTGTGGCAGCTCGGTGCCCTCCGTTGGATGGCGTTTGGGTCTTGCTCCCTGGCAGGAGCATCCTGGGACTGTCTGTATGCTCTGGTAAACTGGATCTGAAATGTCACCCAGTAAAAGAAAGCGTCTGGAGTCAAGGCACTGGGCCTGTGGGATCTGAGCATATCTGGAGAAACCAGGTGGGGTGGGGAGGGGAACACTGCTTCCAGCCTGCTGGGCTCCTGCATGAGGCTTGGCGAGCTTGGCACGGCACGCTGCGTTCCCCTGGCTAAGGCAGAGCTCCTGTGCGCTGACCCCTGTGAGGACGCACCCTTTTCCCCTTTCCCT